GGAGGACGTTCCACGCATGGTTGCCTGCTCCACCGGCTCCGACAAAATCTGTGTCTGCCGAAGCATTAGCCACATACGTTGGGGCATCTTGAGGCACATGCACAGGACTTACAGCCCGGTTGCTTGGAATTGAATTTGAATGTTGCGCCATTCTATATTGTGAGTTCAATCTGTTAAACGGATTCTAAGAGTAGTGTGTAGGTACTTGGCACGGGTGAATGAGGGATGTGGATTAGATACCTTGCGCAGAAAACCGCCAGCGTTGAACTTGTCGTAACAGTCTATAAAATCCAAAAAGTACCTCACCGAGGGCAGAAGGCTTTCTCCAATATGGTACCGAGGGAACTCCTCTGCTTCCAGTACCACAGTGTCAATGCCCTCTCGGGCCAGCACAGTGGCCGCATAGGAGCCCGCGGGTCCGCCCCCGATCACGAGAACTGTGCAGGTTTTGGGGATTGACATATTGGTAAGTAGGAATGTGTCTTGCTCAATGCAAATTTACTTTGGCAGACATCGCCATTACCAGGGATCAGGACAGGCTTTAGTAGCCTGACGGTCCACGGAGTTTGGGGTATCTAATTCGTATCATCGCACTAGATACAAGCAACAGCGGCTCAATAGTACGTCACCAGCTCATGAGGTCGACATGCTGATTTGCGTAGTAGTGTTTCACCTCGTTATAACGTACATATAATCGAGATGCAAACGGCTCTATTTCTCTGTCGACTCTATCGACAACCAAATGACTCTCTGAACCGGCATATTCGCAGCATACCAATGGATGTCACGGGGATTACACAGAATCAAAAGCAATGTTACGCAGAGATCAAGTTTCGAAGATCTTTCCCCGAACAGAGGAAGATAGGACCTGGGTTGCGTAACCAACAGAATCATGGGAAGTGTATGGCACAAGGAACGCTTTACTAGACGGATTCAGAAGCACACTATTTGCGTACTTACGTTGCTCCTTGGTGTAGCATGCGCAGCTGTACGTGTCATATACTACAACTCTAGGCATTTCATGAAAGAGCTCGAGCCGTAAAGAGGTCTGCAGCCGGCCGGCTGGTCGGGTTTCTACATTCTTTCTCGGATATACTATTGAGAATGAGCCCCCGCATTTCCACTTGGCACTTGCTTTGCAGAAATTCCTGCCCTATTCCCATCAAAATACCTGGCGCACTAGCCCATTCGATTGACCATACACTTGACAAACAATAGACCAGGCCGATGCACCTGTTTCCGGTTCGGGTAAGAGCACCTATTACCCTACCTACTGACCGAGAGGAAGTAGGATCGTCAGTTCCGCTGAGGGATTTCAGAAAGGCCCAGAGAGTTTCGTAGCGTTGGGGTCACGAAGAAGTACCATAAGCTCTACCATTTTCAGTGGATTGATGTTCTTGACGTGCCATCCTCTGCCGGCGGGGTTGTAGCCCGTAGAATGCATCTCCCGAGGGGCTATATAAAAACCATGTGACTGGCTTGTACCGGTGCAGGGATTGCTACGTTACAGAAGAGCGGTCTTGGTAAAGTTGACCAAGGCCAGGATTTCCCTGGTGTGCGGTTTATGCCTTACTTGATGGCTCATATCCAAAAGTTTTAGCGCGTGGGATGAGAATCATCTAAGGTGTTACTTTAAAGTGTCATACCGATAGAGATAAGTGCCCAGCATCCATAAAGAAATGACAGAGACCGGTAGATAATGGAGCTGCTGAAGAATCCTTCAAAATTAATTGTTGGGGTTGGCTCAGGAGTGAGTTCCTACCGCGGCTTATCGAAGAGGAAGATTTCAAAGAGAAGACGTTGCTAATCCATGTTCGGAACTTTGCATTGCATGATCAAGGTGCTCAAGTTGTACAAGCAGAATTACGGTTCTTGTAGTTTCCAAATCCGGCGAGAATACTATGCTTTCATGTTCTATCAAGAAGGCCATAGTAGTTGGAAGCCGCGATCAACTGCTTCATTGCCAGTATAGTCGGTGAAGCCACCTGCAAATTCAACATGGGGAACCTATAATTTACAGCCAGATACTTAGAATATCCGAAAAAGTATGCGAGACCAGTGACATGGAAGATTTCATAGTAAATTGTGCAAGGTATTCATGTAATCTGAATATTTTGCCCAGGGCACAGAGCACAACTGTTGCTCTGGAAGGGATTTTGTAGGTAGCTTACGTCATGTCAAAAATAATGTACACTACCCATATCCTAATTTGAGCAAGTACAGGTAGTTTGAATGTGTATATAGGTGGGGATCAGCGCTTCTTAAGTCGTTTTGACTCTCTGCTCCTTGCCCAACGCTGCAGCCGAACATTTATATCATGCAAAATGCTACATGTATATACTGCGACACGGTATATACTGTGTGATGGGAAATAGTATGACAGTCTAGTGAGGAAATTGAGGCCAAGATGTCATATTGCCGTTCAGACATGCAGGCCTTTTCCTAACTCTCACTCACAACGGTGCTTTCTATGGTGAGTTGTGGAACACCTACAAAGAAAGGGGGTATTTCTTATGAAGGGAAGGAGGCATGTACCCGAAAATTATTGGCTGAGCCAGCAGGTTTATAGATACTTGTATGAGATAAAGGGGCTGGGCCGCTTTTCTGATGAACCATTGGTGGCTGTTTGAATGGCCATGTAGATACCCTATTGTATATTCTGGTGCTGCGGTGGGTGGCAAGCGAATTATGTCCAGAAGAGGAATGAGCTAGGCATAAGTATTGCGGAGGCGTATGTGACGACAGGGGATAATGGTTGGCCCATGCTGAAGGCGCTGGTGGGTTTGCTGGCTGCACTGGCATCAGAGCAGCTGGTTGCAGCCTATGCCATTCGTTTTGAATTGAAATGATCAGACTTGGTGCTATTGAGCCATGTCTACTTGCCATTTGCCTTGCTCTTTTTTTTTTTAGAAGGAGACCATCAGTAATGAGACATAAGTATGCATGATAGAACGATGTTACTACATTTGACTTATCCCCTGAGTATATCTTGTCTGCGGCATTGATGTTCGCTGATTACTAAAGTTGCGAAGAGAAGATCCTACGAGGGATCGCTGGTGGGAGGTGACTGCCTCGGCAGCAATGTGCTACCACAGTCAAGAATTTTATCTAGACAGGGTTTTGATGCAGTGAAATATGCACTGCGTTGGAAAAAGGAAATACAAGATAATCTGATTGCGGTAGATGTTTCTGATGTTTACCTCCATTGTGAGACAGAGCATGGTATCTGACAGCAGCTGCGCACACAGCCCTAATATTGAACAGCCTTGGTGGAATGAGAGAAAGGAAAGGCAAACAAACAAAAAAGGAAAAAAAAATGGTATGAAATTGAGAGACCTCTCGCGGCTTACAGCTTGTGATACTCTGTGTGACTTCTCTTCGGAATGCTCAACGAGAATAATCAAGCATTACAAATAGCCTTATAAACTGGAATGTGGAGGTATTTTCAGAGAGTCGGGCTCCCATGTATCAAAATCCTGGTGTCGAACTGTGGGCCGTTTACTTAGTCGAGTATGCATAAACTACAATTTCCGCACAAAATAAATAAGTTAGAATTTCTGGATGTCATTTTCGTGGCTTATTCTCCGGGCTAGTTAAACTACCCGCCAATTCTTCCATCGAATTTCTGCTGTTGACCTTCTGCATTCCGCGGTAACGCAACAGGAGAATTTTGACGGCACAGACGGCCTTCCAACATGATTGTTGCCTCTCTAGAATATATGCTGACTACTAACCCATGGATGAATACGCGTAATGAGCCTTTGGCATGCAATACGAGCAGTAGTCATGACGTATGAACTTTTCAGTGTTGTGCTTGTGCTTATATTCATGCCAGAACATGCTGACAGCTGCAGAAAACCTGTATTCCAGCGTTCGACCGAGTTTTATACGTGGTTGTGAAACAAAATTGTACTCGATGCAAGAATGCAACTGGAGGACTGAACAAGGAAGGGCACTATGAAGATATTCACGGCGCTATCCATATATACCTCCAACAATACGGAGTAGCTCACCCAGCATAAGAAATTGACTAAACGTTCAGAATCCAAATATAGAAGTAGCTCAGATATTACGTCAATATATGCATGCAATGTAAGCTAATGTCAAGATAGCTGAGCTACATAACAATTGATTCCCCGCTTGCGCTGTGGATGCTGGCTAAGCTGCGGGGAAGCCCAAGGAGCCCCCTAAGGATTGATGTAATCCCAGTGTATGCAGCTGCGCTGGGGCAAGTGAGCCCTGCCCTTACATCAGGGCTTGAGCCTGCAGGCCGCCTATGTTCGAGGTACACAGAACACAAATTGCAATGGTTGGCTTATTGGATCATCAATGGTCTCTTATTTGCTCTTCGGCCCCAAAACTATTTATTACCATCCTGGGGACCTACGTATTGCAGGTTGGCAGCTCGTATTTCGTCACGCATAGTTGATCGACCTGCCTGGGAGCTTCTGTTCTCGAAATTCATAGTCAATCATGCTGGACTTGCTGTTGGGTGGTGGCCACTACTAGCCACGGGATGTATATGGAAGCCCTCCAAATGCAGCGTATGCTACAAACCTAATGAAAGCAATGACCTGAAAGCAGCATGGAGCTGTCGTGTAAGTAATCAATAATAGTCATGATAGTAATAGCACATCAATGAAATAAAGGCTCCGCACTCCTTGAAACTGATGTAGGTGGTGCTTCTGTGACAGTAAAGAATTCTAAGGCTTATGCGTCGCTGCCTCCGACAGGCTACTGTCTTTTCATGACGTCTGTTTCGCCTGCAAACCCCGCATACTACTTGAGACCAGCTAGCCAAAAGTGGCAAGAATGTATATCTTTCCTGCGTCTATCACGGCCCCGTTGAGCCTGCAAATATAGTCACGATTTCGGGAGAGTTGGCTGTATAAATAGTTCCTCTCTCATCCATCCGAGTTGAAATATCACATATCAATTTGGCATCTAGCCCAATCCTCATAGAACAAGCTTAGAAAGCCCTGGGTCAACTACCTGCAATCATGACCGGAATCATGAACTATCTCCGTCGGTCTCGAGCGACGGACTCGGGTATCGAGATGTCCGCTACTATCACAGCAAGTTCTTCATCGCCTAGTTGGGGTGTGATAGAACTTAAAGATTTACGCGACAAGGACAACAATCATGTGGACTTTACCAAGGATGATTACCTTGGTATTGCATTGCTATCACCCGTCAAGGTCGAGGATACAGAGGTCAATGTTTCCACTGATCCCTGGTACGATTTCACATGTGAGGTTAGCAATTTCTCGAGCGGTAACGATGTCGAAGTCCTTGTGAAGATCACATTCAAGCCTAATTGGGATGGGGAAGCCGACAAGTTCCAAGTCAAAGATGTCCAGCTGGAAATGGCTGGCGATCCGCAAGATGAGCACTACAAGGACTCGGTGCGTCTGTGGAAGAATTCTCTGCCCGATGAAACCGGTACCGTCCCAATCGTGTGCGACAGTCGACCGGATGGATTCCCTACTCCAACCAGACGGTGGTTCTCACAAACGATGATGGGATTATCATGAAAGAGGTGCCATTCGGTCAAAAGACTGAGGTCACCTTGAACCGGGGCAACTACGGAGTTGCTGCTACAGAAGTTTTCACAGACGATGAAACCACTGTTGCCACCGCAAAGGCTCAGCCAGGCCAAGTGGAGGTCAAACAGGGGACTACAAGCTCAGATGTCAACGTTACGTACGATGTTCATCATTACAGCGCGACAGACGTTGTAATTGACAATATAGCCGGGCTCGAGGGAGAGGAAGTGCATGTCAAGTTCAGCAGCGAAGACAGTCTGCTCCATGATTTTTGGAGTTCTGTTCCACAGACCACAAAGCTACGTCGAGTACTCCCATCGGATGGCAACGCAACTATTGGCGTTGATTCAATCATCGTGAATAATGTTCAATATGAATTCACTCCGAAGCAGGTTGATTTATCAAGCAATGAATCTGTCTTGTTTACGGCTGGCGATGTGACTCAGCATCAGATAGAAGTCTCGGATGCCATCAAGCTACCCATCCAGCTGAAAAAGTCGGGCTCAACAACCGCAGGAACAATGGTGGTGCACCTCATTCAGAAAGACACCCGCCTTATCTACAAGGAAAAGGTGGACATGGACGAAGAGAACCCCCAGTTCCAGGTGTTGGTGGCCCCGGGAGATTACAAAGTGCAGGCAAATCGGTTCATCGAGAATGGAATCTTGTATAAATTTACATTTGACCCCAGTATCACCGTCAACGAAAATGGTAACACTGAACTGGAATTGCAGGTGGATCTCGTCGTCAACCTCAATGTCCGTGGCTTCCCCAACTTTTTGAGTTTCGGTGCTTGCACCCGGGACCTCAGCGAACCTACGAAATCGGATGACACTGACAACGACTTAACAGACTTTGTGCAAGCTGGTGCATCGTCAATATTCAAATATGCTGGCCAGGGTGGCGACGGCGACCCCGAAGTTGATCTAACAGAGAGTCTAGAAAGCACACCAAGAGTGATTGCCCTTGCGAGCGATATCGAAAAAGCCATCGGAAGTGATCATACTGTTCTGCCGGTGTTGATATCATATACCTGCAACTTTTCTGGTGGGAACGATGTCCTGACAGACACCACCAGACACCGACATAGCATTGGAAATTTCATTCAGTCGCTATAACTCACCATGAAGAGTGACCAGGCGCCACGCTCTCTACGCGCTGCGTACATCCTCAACCCTGATTTCATTGGCGAGTGCCAGAAGCGTGGCTACGAAGCGGACTCAGAAGTACCGTTCCTCAATGCTCTGAAAGAAGCTCTTGAATACCGGGGTGAAGCAGATAAGGTCGAGCTTATCCCTAGCAACATTGACAATACCCTTCGTGGATATGTACGTGCACTACACTGGCTGGTTCGGACTCTGACGAAGGATCCCGACACCGGTAAGCCTGCCGTTTCGCTCGGGTGGCAGGTGAATCTCTGGGCAGGAGAAGCCGCCGGTGCAGTGTGGATTTACACGGACGAAAACCAGGCATCGGACAAGGCGAAGAAAACAGCCGACTACTTGGATGAACTCGGGGTATGGCCCAAACAAGCTTCCCAGCAGGCGGATGAAGATGAGCTAGCTCCTCTCGACTTTCTGGCCGTTGACCGCTGGGAACGCGATGATTACAGAAATGATAGCTACCCTAAGTTCTTCTGCTTTGCTCCGCGCGAATGGAGCAGGTATTTTGATTTCTGTGAAACGCTTGGCGCAGAATTGCATGCCCCGATCATGCCTTGGCAGGTGTCAGCAGCTCGCACGCCAACCTTCAAAGATGACGTTTCGAACAATTTCTCGACAGCACAGCACTGGGGTACCGGGGGCAGCTGCATTTTGGGCGATCCAGGTATTGGATCCGAGTACTACCGCATTCACAAGAAGATCTTGTCGCTGGGATTGGATGAGGTGCAATTTCACGTTAAAATCGTGGAAGAGTTATGGAAGCGCTCTCAGCCATTTGATATCAGTGTTCCAGGTTACCAAGGCCTCCATTTGCGGGGAATCTTCGCTGTCCTGCTAGGTGGAGGTGACACAACCGGCATCGTGAGTAGTCTTCCTCAGGCTGGTGAGAAGCAGGATGCTTGGGTGCGGGAAAGACTCGGAGAATATATCAAGGACCCAATTTATTTCCAAACCGATTGAGGAGGGAGCGTGTAATTGAACGCTACAAGTGAATTCAGGACATCGTTGTCTGCCGTTATTGCGATTTTCGGGTTTCTAATGTGGCACTAGCCACCTGTACTTGGGTTTAGGTGGAACTTGCAAGCTGTGTTCAGGATGGAACAGAATGACTACGATTTAAATGCTGAGGGCTAGTGCTAATGATTATAGCGTTTTAGCATTTAATTTTATGTACGCAATCATGTTTCTGACCGAGAATGGAAGAATTTTTATTGTCGTTGTGCTTTTTGTTGCATCAGAATGGCGAGTGGGATGTCTTCCTCGTCGTAGAATTCGACGTCCTCTTCGACCCCAAAGTCACGTAGCCGTTCGCCCTCAGAATTCTTCCACCCTTCCTCGCCATCTTCGGGCTCGGTACTATAACCTGGTGAAGATTCCCGAGAAGAGCCGCTCTGATTTATTTCTTCCTGTGCCCGATCATGGAAGCGCTTACGACGTCTGATTTCCTGGCTAGCTCTCGGCGCCCCACTGGGGCTATCATCCGTCCTCCCGTAAATTGCTGGAGTCTGGGGCTCGACATCATCCATGACTGTTCTGGCTGTAACCGGGATTCTGTCTGGGTCGGGAGGTGGCCAGGTAACATTAGGATCTATTTTGGGGTCAGTCCGTCATTAATATCGGTGCCATATAGCAAGTTTCACTAACCTTCAAAGTCGTTCACTTCGAACTCTAATCCTGTCCGACGGTCAGGAGTTCTGGCCAGCGGCCAAAACCAGCTCAGAACCTAAATAGCAGATTAGCTTGCAGCGGAGAAAAACGATTATGGATAAAAATCGACCAACATTTGCAGTTCCGCCCATCCCAGCCTTGATGTTGGACCAGATTCCGATATCGTACGGAAACTCTTGCTTTTTGATTCGGATCCTTACGCCACCTGGTCCGGTCAAATACCCACCGAAGTGACGGGACCGACGAACCAGCGTTTGATGTCGTTCAATTTCCCATTCTTCGATGGTTGTCGTATTAATGCTCATAGACCAGATGGTCCGACCGAGAAGGATCATGAGAAAGAAGACCGTGAAGCTGTTCACTACAAGGAGAACGAATAAATGGCCCATCTGCAGCGCACTAGGGCCTAAATACTAAGAAATTTCTGCATCAGCTTGCGTCGTCTCGTCTAGAGTAATCATCTTACGCTCGGACGATTCCGGGAAGCCCAAATTATTGACGCTCTTTCATAGAGAAGGGTTTCGAGATAAGACATTCCTATTACGGCGTAAAACAGAAAACGCACGAAGTGAGGGAACGTGAAGTGCGAGACACAGTTCGAGGTCCATGGGCAATGATGGTCCATCTTTGGAATGCATCTGTAGCTGGCATCAGTATAAAGCCCTAGCTATTGATTTGATATAACTAACCTTTGGCACGTTCGACAATGGTGGGCTCTTGGCGGCTTGTATGCCTCACATTTACGGCACCATCGTTGACGACCACTAGCACGGTCGGCTTCAAGTTGCTTACTGTCTAATGGCTTCCAATCTTTGGGAATGCGACCAGGATCTACAGTGCAAGTTCGATAATAACATATCCAGATGCACAGGGCAAAGATGTTAAGGCGCCATAGCTCGGTGTCCCTGAGCGGAGCTGGCTCGAAGTACACAAAGAAATACTGCGAGCTGTACGCGAGAAAGCTAATTAAGATGCAAACTGATGGAATCGCTAGTTGCGACAACTGGAATAAAGAGCTAGCCATGCTGGTTGCACATCACATCTCCGAGTCCAACCACTGGCAGCACGCGATGAATGATGGAGTGGCAGACAAGACAGAATGTTGTCGATGTTGACAAGCCACGTGGTGTGGCTGACTCAGCACACGTGATCAATCTCTATGTTGTGCGTGGAAATACTTCTTCATTCATTCTTCATCTCCATTGATCATCCAGGACAGTCTATTGCATCGTATACTTCATCTAAATTCTGCTATATAATATATATTCTAAAACTATCCATCGCTCATCTTGCTCAAAGCCACCCAAATGACTGACCAATTACCTGTGTTCCGTTAAGGATGCCAATCGCCGCGCTGTCCCCTGCAGCGGTGCGGGCAATTGGCTCCGCGTCTGTTATTTCCGATCCCTGCTCCATTGTCAAAGAGCTCCTGGACAACGCCTTGGATGCCACAGCTACTTCAGTCTCCATTGAGATCTCACAGAATACACTTGACGTAGTACAAGTGAAAGACAATGGCCACGGTATCCCCGCTAGTGACCACTCTTTTGTCTGCAAACGCACCTTCACCAGCAAGATTCAATCCGTCGAGGATCTTAGAACTATCGGTGGGAAATCTCTAGGTTTCAGAGGCGAAGCACTTGCTAGCGCAGCGGAGGTATCCAGTGGCGTGGCTATCACCACTAGAGTACCGCATGAGCCGGTTGGTTCTTCTATCAAATATGGTAGAAATGGAGAGCTTCTAAGGTGATTACCACCGCCGATTGAGAAAGTCCAAAGCTGACCTACGTAGTACCCAGCGAGCGTCACATCCAGTAGGTACCAGTGTCCGCATAACGGACTTGTTCAAACACATCCCTGTCCGGAGACAAACTACGATAAAGAACGCTGCCAAGACACTCGTGAGGATCAAGAAGCTCGTACAAGCATACGCTATTGCCCAGCCCTCCAAGCGTTTGTCTTTGAGGGTCCTCAGAGCAAAGACAGAGACGAACAACTGGATATATGCCCCAGGCAACAACACTAGCCTCGTAGATGCAGTATTAAAGGTTGTGGGCACCGAAGTTTCCTCTAGTTGTCTTGTCAAGGCCTGGCCACCTGAGAACGACAGCGACAGGTCTTTTCGAATAGTCGCGCTTCTTCCAAGGCCAATGTCCGGTATGTAGCTGTTCTGTGAGTACTTGAGTGTGACTGACAGAGTCAGACCTTACCAAGGTAAACGGGTCAGGTCAGTATATCAGTATCGATGGCAGGCCTTTATCGACCTCCCGAGGGGTCGCGCAAAATATTGCCAAATTATTCAAGTCTTATATACGCTCGCTTGCTTCCAGTCAGGAGCCATCTCCAAGCATTACCGATCCACTTCTGTGCCTTCAGCTCCAGTGCACTAATGCAAGCTACGACGTCAACATTGAGCCCGCCAAAGATGATGTCCTTCTCGAAGACCGAGAGAAGCTTCTCTCCTTGGTGGAGGAGCTTTTGTGTGATGTGTACGGTATAGAAGCAAAACCAGCCGAGAGATCAAGGAATGTCAACAAGGAAAAGGAACCTGCTCCTTATAGAAACTCGTTTGACATCCTTCTTGCCAGCAAAAGTCCGGATGACTCACGGGCAAGCAGTTATGCCTCCTCAACACCACGGACTCCGGCTGTAGAGGGACAACATAGTGCACACACAGAGAATCGTCTGGAGCTGAGGAGTGCGAGCAGCAACCCCTGGTCAATACCTAAAGAAAGCATGCCGATGCCGACTCGCGACATCTCCTCATCGCGCAGTCATACGGATAAGACAGGAAGGTGTGGAATCGTGCGAGATCCGACTGAAAGCCGAGGAAACTTACGAGAGAGACTGCAGACGAGCTCTCCAGGGTTCATCTTACCGAGTCCCTCTGCCAGCTCGACGACTGCTCCTGGCTATGTGACTGAGGCTCAGTCTTCGCCATCTAGTCCAGGCACACCTCAAACTCCTCTTCCCAGGACAAGGCAAGCCTCAATGGACCATGGCACGCATCCTGAAAACGGAGCCCTTGATAGCTGGTTGAGGAAGACTCCAGTCCCTTTGTCTCAACCAAACATTGGCGAGGTACCTGTAGACGATGGAGACGAGCGCTCGTTGCAGCAGTTGGCGCAAGAGCGATTTGGCTCACCAGAAAGGTCACCAAGTGGCTCAGCATCGATAGAGAATGGCGTTGCTACCGCTCAGAACCAATGTCCCGAGACCCAGGCTAGCCCTGCCGAAGCAGACGCGGAGCCTGAAGAAACTGGTTCTCCCTTGCTTGGAAGTACCACAGACCCCAAAATTAGAGAAGATCACGCGCCTGCCCCTGAGAAGTCTTCCGCTACTCTACGCCAGCTTCTTTCAGGAAATAACCACCAGGAGCTGGACCGTGCACTTGACTTTGAGAACCGCAAGAGGGAAGCTATCCTTAGGCATCGAGAACAACTTAGAAGTCGGCGAAACCAGACCACAACGAGTTCACCCCACATGAGTCGGTATCTAGCTGCCAAGGCTGCACTTCATAGTCAACCCGACGCTGACCGAGAAGACGAGCCGACCGTGAAGCCCGTGCTGAGTCCACATGACCCACGGTCGCGTTTAATGCGTCACAGGGCGCAAGATCAGTATGAAGATGGCATATCAAGGATTAGAAGGATCAACACAGACAAGTTGCCATTGGAAAATATTCCAGATGAAAATGAACTATATAGTCTGGGTCTGACCCAGCAGGCCGACATTCCGCTCATATCGACCACATACGACCATATAACCAAGACGGATCTGTATACTGGATGTGGAGATCAATTTGTCGCCTTTGACCATTCACATAAAGATACAGAGAGAGTGTTTGATATCTGGAGATATCGACTTACCAGTTTGATGCAGGGCAATTACCAGACTAAAGAACGGTCGGGAATACCGGATGTGCATTTCAACTTCTCTCGTTTAGCGCAGCGCGGGCAATCCAAGTGATAGCATTCTTTATTTATCTTATCTTATCTTATCTTATCTTATCGGCGCCAGCTAGCGATTCGGCTGTTCGAGTGACCAGCTTGCATGAAATTTCCCTACCTAGACACAATATGTTAATATACAAGGTAGCAAACATTAATTCTGAACTAATGTATCCATCCGCAATATGAACACGACCTGAACCTCGGCAGGTCTGATCAGGGTCCAGTCTGGCCCTGGCAGGGCGGCTCCACCAGCCCGCAAAGCAGTGAACGTCATCGTCATGACGCCGTTACATAAGACTGACATCAACTGACACCCCCCTTCTATAAAACCAAATCCAGTTCCTCCCACATTCTCGATCTCTTTCAACCTCAAGCACAGTTGAGTGATCATCACAGTCAACATGAATATATCCGGGAGCGCTCCCTTTGGGAACGACTATATCCCACACCCCCACCCACGGCTTCACACGGCCGACATCGGGATCTTCAAATCGACCATCCTCCCCTCCTTCACTCTCCACACGACTCTCGACATCGCTGCCTTTATCGCATCCAAGGCTACCGACCGCGCCGAAATCAAGGACTGGTGCTGGCCGTCTAGCCAAGTTATCAACGCCTGGTGGAGCGCCATCGGACACCAAGTCTACTACCATAATATCTCGCCGCAAACTGCCTGGTCGACTCTCTCTTGGACGGAAAAGGTGCTCTTGACTTGTGTTACGGTTTGGGGTACTCGGCTTTTTACTCGCATCGCTTCTCGGACTATCACCCGCGGCAAGGATGACCCGCGCTATGACCAGCTGAAGAAGGAAGACCCTAATGGGTTCTGGACCTCGGCTCTGCTCAAGCAGTATCTCCCTGAGGCGGCTTTCCTCACCCTGATTGCCCTGCCCTTCACCGTGCCATTCCGGTTGACTTCCTCGACGTTGTCGCTGGACAGCGATGTCCAGTCTGTCGTCCGGGCAATTGGTGTCGCACTCTTCGGCGCTGGATTCGCCATGGAGGTTATGGCCGATGCGCAGCTCGAGATGCACCGTCAGGAACGGACCGATCTGTGCAAGCACGGCGTGTGGAGTATCGTCAGACACCCCAAGTAAGCTATCCCTTCCTATCCCTCTTTCGTGCTGTTTAGAGAACCCAAGCTAATGAAACCAGCTACCTCGGCGATACCCTCGTCCACATCTCCTTCGCCGTGCTCAACATTGCCAACAACTTCAACCCGATCGTCCTACTCGGTCCCCTGACCAACTACTTCTTCCTCCGCTTCGTCGGCGGCGACCGCCAGACCGAAGCCAGCCAGGAGACACGGTACCGCACTGAGGACCTGCACAAATACGAGCAGCTGCAGAGTTGGCGCCGCGAGAAGAACAGTTTTTGGCCCGGTCTCACCGAGGTAGTGAACCCCTGGACGTGGGTGGTTCTTGGAGCGGGCGTGCTGGGCGTGGTCGCAGAAGAAGGTATTCGGGGCTGGCTTTCTCAATAATTAAATTCTCTCAGTCAGTTAGTATATGTATGAACTAGTCATGAATTAATAATACCAAAAGTCATATACATGAATTTATTCAACCAATAATGAGGGTTAGTACCCCCTCCCCCTCTTAAATCCGTTCAATAACTCCTCCCCTCTCTCCAATCTCCCCACATTCTCCCTCATAATATCCAGCGAACGCGGAATATACTCCCTCCCTGCGGAGCTGACATGTGGACTGATCTGCACATTCGGCGTGTCCCACAGCGGACTATCCTCGGGCAAGGGTTCCGGGTCCGCCACATCCAGCGCGGCTCCACCTAGCACTCCCTCCTTCAGCGCCTTAATCAGCGCATCCTGATCAAGCACCTTGCCGCGAGAGATATTCGTAAGATACGGACGCGGTCGACCCGCAGACACACCATTACTGAGGATTTCGAATTCCTCAGCTCCAAGCATGCGGGTGGTCTGCGGAGTCAGCGGCAGCGCGATCACCAGATGGTCGAGCCCCAGAGACAGAAATTCGTGAATTGAGGCCTTGTCTGTCCCATGGTGCCAGGATACAGGGATTGTGCCGTCGCGGTCGCCGGTGCCGGGGACAATGTAGCCGTTGTCTTTCCGGGAGGAAGGAGTCGGGCGCGGCGAGGCTGTGTAGGCGTGGACTTGCATTCCGAGGGCCGAAGCGACGCGGCCGACTTTTCCCATTGTTAGTACTTTTCCTGAAAATGTGCAGAGGGAGGGGTGCGAATGTACTTTGTCGTCCGATACTTCCGTATCCAAGAATTCCAACTTTCCTACCCACTTGATCATGGACGGTGTTCATGAAGTCGACATTCTTGGCCCAGATATGTTTCTGTTGGTTCTCATGGGTGTAGACGAAGCGTCGCGAGGCGACGAGCCAGTTCATGATGGTCCATTCGGCGATTGGGGGGCCGTGGATGCCCGAGCTGGAGGTGAGCGGGATGGAGGTTTCTTTGACAATGGGGTGGGAGAGGAGGTGATCGAGTCCGGAGGAGAGGGAGTGGATGAGTTTGATTCTGTTTTAAGTTGAATTTTATTAATTCTGTTCTATTCCCGGGTCTGAATTTTGGGGTGACAGGGGGTATTACTTGGATGCATCTTCCGGGGCGGGGAGATTGCTGAAGGTGACGAGCAGAGTGATTTTGCGTGCGATTTCTGGTACGTTCAGCTGGTTAGTGATGATAGATCCAAATTGGACAGGGATTGAGATGCAAGCACCGACCAGCAGGAATTGGCGCGAAATTGGGTAGCTGCAGGATGGAAAGTTCGGCGTCGGGGAATTTGGCCTGCGTCTCGTCGATCAGCCATTGCGGAAGATCGCGGGCGTAGGCGATGACTAGGTGCTCTTTGACGGGGGGTGCTTCGCCCATATTGAGAGTACAATACGTGTATTGGTTTGGAAGGACGGTGAAGTGGAATTGGGGATTATATTGAGGATATCAATGGAAGCAATGGCGCCATTGAGGGGATCTTTTGCGCTTCTTTCATTTATGCGTCGAATGTCCGGTTGCAGATGGATTAATAAGCGCGGGGAGGAGAAGTCGGAGATTAAAAAATGGACCCAAAGAAAGAGAGATAACAGAGATAGGAAAAACATCTTATCATCATTCTTTTCTTGTCTACAGCCCGACCAGTGTGAAGCTGATGAGATACATAACAGATGTCTATACATAATACGCATAACTGATGTTGCTTCATGGCAGTCCGTCTTACTCTCACTCCAAGACTCACAAAGGAAATTAGCCTCGGCCCGTAAAGCCATGACCGATCGGCGGTTCGCTTGCAGCTGCAGTCCCAAGTTTGTGTTGTATCTGACAGCCTCACATCCATGGTTCGGGCAGCCGCCGGCATCGCCTCAGCCCGCCATCCCAGTGACCTGTTTTTGCGACCAGTCAGTCCGTTAAGCTGTGGAGATGCCAGACGGGATGCAGAACACGGGTTCATCGGGCGCCAAACTTTTTCTCCGACAACCAACACAGTCACACAGCGGGTGAACCCGTCACGAACGGGTGGACGGGCAATTTAGAGCTTGTTTTCCCTGCAGGATGGTTTGTTTGCTTTGACAATCTCCATCAGCCGGACTCGTGTTGCCTGTCACATCACAATCGAAACAATGGCACGGCGAATCACATTGCGATCCCTCGGCTAGTTCGTTCCAACACATCCACTGGCTATCCACTGACATTCAGTGCTCAGGAACGCCAGGCCCGTTCAGCTGCCCCCAAAGCTGTCCACTGCATGTCCACCATGAATGGCCCACTGCCGACAAGCCAATCGGTTCCAACTTCCACCTCTCTCATCTCACTGCTGGACAAGGTGCACGTCCCATGACTCGTGCCGAACTGTGTCGATCGCTGTGGGTCGAGGGTCCAGCCCGCCAGCTCTCTATCTTCAGAGTTTTGCCCGCTGAACCCTCGACGGTCTGACACCCCAATAATGGACCAATGCAGGGTGTTGTTTAGCTTCTTCCTGCTATTTTTCCGCTCAGCGCACGGCATATCCGTCCTTAGCAGAAATTGTGGCGCCCATCAAAGTGTGCTGAGCAACCTATCAAACCCTTCAACACCATGCCGGAAATGACGAAAAGGAGCTTGGATCAAGCACCACCCCGCTACAAATAAAGGGGTTGGACCCTCTTCACGAGCAACTCAATCGCACACAATCCGCTAATCTTTTCACCCTCTCCTCTTCCTCAACTCACCATGGCCGTTCCTAATCGCCGACCCAACTTCGCTCGACGGCTCCTCCACGCCGCCTTCGATCGCGAAGAGCAAGGCCTTCCTCCTATCCCACAAGGACATTCTCATCACACCAACCCACCCTATGACATCCCTCTCCCTAACGGCAGCGCGAGCACTGCCCAGCCCATGCCGGCTCCTCCAACCAACATCCCAACTCACGGCCCCATGCCAACAGCACACATGCCCGCAAACAAACCCCCTCTCACCATCTCCACGACACAAGCCAGCTCCCTCATCCCACCCCAAGACAAGCTCCTCGTCTTCCGCGCACTCACCGGCATCGACAGCATTCCCGCCCTCAACACCCTGCACCACTTCAGTCGCACGGCCCCCAACATCGGCATCTACACGCGTGTCGTCGAGGCCGAAAAGTCCGCTGCCACGCGCTACCGCTTCTTCAGCATCCTCATCAACGTCTGCCTCGGTATTCAGATCGTTGTGGCCGCTGCCCTAACGGCTCTCGGCGCCGCCAGTGGTCCCCACTCTGCCGTGACGGCCTTTGGCGCCATCAACACCATCATGGCCGGCGTGCTGACCTACCTGAAGGGCTCGGGGCTGCCGGATCGCTTGAAACACTATCAGAACGAGTGGCGGAATATACGGGAATATATCGAGCAGCGCGAGCGCGAGCTGTGTCTGGCTGGTTGTTCGTTAGATATTCAGGACGAAATCCAGTTCATCGAGTATATGTATGAGGGGGTCAAGAGGGAAATTGAAGCTACAAAGAGCGGAGAGAATCGTTCGAATGCTAGAGAGGGATTAAATCGCCGGGCGTTCTTACCTAGACAGGGAGGTCAGGTACAACAACATCCCCAGGGAGAGGGACACCACGACTACGGCTACGGGCACCAGGGACAACAGCCGCAGGCGTACCCACACCCATACCCACAGGCACCGGCTCAGAGTCAGACCCAAACTTACCCGCACGACCCGCGGATGTCGAGTCCAATGCGGAGTCCGGAGCCTGTCATCTTGGAGAAGACTCATTAGACCCCAGTCACGGAGGGTTCAACGCATATTGATATATGGATCAAAAATTTTAATGATAATGTAAATGTCTACGATAATTAAAGTACAGTCATCCAAGCGGATTAACAGGAAATGGTGGTGGCCTGACAGGAACCCACTAATGCATCTTAGCTACACACTAGTCCAACCAAGTGCCGGGCAGTAATCCTCATCTCACCCTCAGCCATTCATATCTTTGTACCGAGTAATTAGCGCGATTAGATACTATCTTAGCGTTTGTAAAAGAATCGTAATCTCCGTAAGCCGTGCTGGCACAGCTAACTAGCCGGCTATTTAATTTCAAAGCAATTCCTGGCTTTTCTTCTCACACTTGGGGTGTGTCATTCTGTTCTGTTCAGCAAATCCAACTCCCAGTACTTACCAAAACACCAATATCATAAGTCTCAAAGAAGAAATAATACAAAATGCTCAAACAACTCCCCTGTACCCCCTCCGACGCCGACGCGCTCGCAACCCTCTACCTTCAATGCTTCACCACCCCCGTGGACCAGCGTCTCTGGCCCAACACCCCCGAGATCCACGCTTGGTGGGTAGCCAGCTTCACCCGAAAACTGACGGAGGGGCTTGATAAGTACCACATCCTGAAGGTCATTGATAGTGAGAAAGATGACGAGCTTGTCGGATTCTTGGAGTGGAAGCTCCCTGCCCCCATACAGCAAGATCATCCAGCGAACGGCGATGAGAATAAAGACTATGCCGAGGGTAAAGACCCCGAAACTCAAGAACTCCTCGCCACGTATCCATCTCACGTCGGTGATATTGAGCTTCTCAAGGAAACATTGGAGCAGTTCAGGACTATGATTGGGGGCATTATGGGGGAGAGGAGGTTTTATTGTAAGGGACACCTTTTTATCTTTCCTCATTTCTTGGGTTAAGTGGTTTTGGTCGTGGATATGGCTAATTGATCAGATCTTAACATGCTCGGCACGAAGCCCGAGTACCGACGACAAGGCGTCGCGTCGTGGATGATCGAGTGGGGAACAAGCCGCGCGGATAAAGAGGGCCTCGAAACGTTCGTGGTTTCTGCTCCTGGGGCAAGGCCCGTGTATCTGAAGCATGGATTTGAGCTTGCGAGTGAGGGAGAAGATCTGGGTAGTTTTGTGCCTTGGTATATGGTTCGGAAGCCCAGGGTTGAGAGGAAGGCAAGAGGAGGACTTGCGAAGTGGTTGTTGGGAGTCTCTGCTGTGCTTGGGGTTGTGGCTATTATCTACCAAAGGGTGTATAGGAGGGCGTTGTAGACGCAATATCTTTGTATATAGACTTTTTCATCATTACTTGCCATTAATCGTTTTAATCTGCCACCAACTCAAGAACATATCTCATCACTCATTCCACGTCACGTTACATCAATTAATAACCATCTAAGCAGCAGCCCGACCCTTCGTCTCAGGAACAGCCATCCAAGCACCACCCATACTCACCCAAATCGCACCGCAGAACCACACCGCCGCGCCATCGGCAACAGCACCTTCAAATGTCGTAATAATACTAGCAATCAGCCCAAACACTCCCCAGCAGAATCCCACAACACCCAGACCAAAGCCACGGAACGGAGCAGCAAACACCTCCACCGAGTAAGTAACCAGCACCGCCATTGTCGCTGTCTGCAAGAACGACAGAATGCACTCAAACGCGAGCAGCGCATCCCTCGAGCGCGACACCGTAGCCAAGAACATGAATAGACCCGTCAACACGGCGATGATAGATCCAGTCCGCTTGCGGCCAAGTCCCTTCGCCTCAATGAGAAGACCCACGACGATCGGACCGGGGATTGCGCACAGCGCCACGTACAGGTACCGGCTGTACAGGTATCCAGTAGTCACTGAGGTGGCCGACACGGCGTCAACGCCCTTAGTGGTGAGGTACTTGCTGATGTAGGTCTTGTGCAGGGTGAAGGTCAGCCCGGTGATGGCCCAGAGGAGACAGAGAACGGGGAGGCCGATGGCGCCGGCAGAGGACAGAAGGGACCTGGTGCGCGACTGGCGGCGAGACTCGGGGGCGCTGGCATCTACGGTTGAGTCGATGCGAGCAAAGGAGGACTCCTCAAGCCAGGTCTTGCGGTTGCTGTAGGCAGCGATGTCCTTGACGAGCTGGGTGGCTTCGGCGTCCCGGCGCTTGGACAGGAGATACTTGGGGGTTTCGCGGAGGGGGAAGGCGAATCGGCACAGGTATAGGAAGAGTGTCATGCAGCCGAAGGTCCACCAGACGTAGCGCCAGCCCTTGTTGGAGACGTAGTGGCATTGCGAGCTGCTGCTGCTACTGCCGGAATGGTCGGCGCGGGATTGGTGTGACAGGGCTGCGCCGGTGCTGATCTCGTCGGGGCCGGTGCCGCAGGTGTATTCGGCGATGAAGGCCCTGTGGTTGTTAGACGATGTGATAGGTTATTTGGTAATGGGGACGTAGACTCACCATCCTACAGCTGCTGCTACCAGCTGGCCCAGTCCCCACATGGCACCCTGCATGGAGACAAGGAACTGGTGGGATGCGGGAACAGATTCGAGCAGAACCATCGCATCTACGACCTGGTTACCAGCCACTGCAAAGCCAACAACAAAGCCGACGACACAAAGGCCGGTGAAAGACGGCATTCCGGCACCGACGAGACCACCCATTCCCATTAGGACCAGGGTGCTCGTGAAGATCCACTTCCGGCCCAGCATGTCGGACATCCAGGGCCAGGCGGTGGCGCCAGTGGTCAAACCGACGTACAGACTGATGAAGAGGTAGGCCTCTTTGTTGTCGGTGTAGAAGAACTGGGCTTCGTTGGCGCTGGAGGGAGCGATTACCGTGAAAGACATCAACCAGAACTGTATCTGTTAGCAAATTCCTCAATGTTCTCACTAATTGTATAGGTATTCACATACACTATCGAGGAACCACCCCACACTGGTATTAATGAACAGAAACCATTGATACAACCCCATACCCATATCCAACATTGCCTGGTTCAAAAGCGCTGCCTTAGCCGCATAGACGGCGTCTGTCCCAGCGATAGAAGTGGGAGTGTCAATGGTGGATCCATAGACATTGGTATGAGGTCTGTCAGTGGGCGCTTCCTTGGGATGAGCCGCTTTCTCAACATCCACCACCAAAGTAGAAGCAAAGGCACTCTGGGCCTCGATGTTTCTCTCACGAGTCACGCCATCACTGGCCGCTGCAATATGGTCTGCACCCATTTTGTCCGGAATGATCATTCAGAGCGAGCGAACAGTGAGGGGAGAGGGGAAATGAAAAGCCGGCAGCGAAGAACCCCGCTTTATGTAGACGCAGAGACACTGCGGATATCACCCGACAGCCAAGCCATCAAGTAAACTGGATCACATGTCTTATCTTCGATTGGTACGTAAAAGCTTGCCGCGGAGATATGCGGGTGGTCGTGCATCGTGAGTCACGCCGTGATGAAACTGATATTGTCTATACCAACCATGACTCTTGGTATACAGGACCATAACTGATATAAGCCTTTTACAACTCTAATTTTCTCACAGGCTTTTCTATTTCAGTAAGAATGTGCGCAGCAAATCTCATTAAAGCGAGTTGCACGCGTGGAAGAAACTTCACCCGCCAGACCTCGGAGAAAGCTGAGACCCACCTGGATGGAGGGGGCAGCGCGTCCTGTTCTTGGAGGCTTCCGGGCTGTCGAATTAGAACGGTGGAATGGCTTGAAGCGGCATTTGAGATGTATGCCATTGGTAGTTCGAATTTTTCATCCCGCCCAAGCTTCTTCAGGCGTGAAGAGTACCGTAGCAACGCTCTGGTCGAGATCATGCCATTGCGGGCGAGACCCCACCGGTGAAGAAAAATTTGATCATGTTGATAAGTGATATGGGTGGATATGGAGCATACCTTATTGGGATGCTTCCATGGTTCAAAGATCTTATCTTTGACCTGCAGTTCACATTCCTCTGTATTTAGGGCAGTGGTAGGATAGCGGACTTGCAGATCAGGGCATGTCACAGTCTCGGAGTTCTATCTAAGCTTTGGCTTGTTGCTCGACAAGCACTCCATCCTTGGAGTAGAGTGCTTTCCAGAAAAGCAATTGTCACATTAAAGCTTCATTTCGAAACTGAATGTGTTGCGCCACAGATCCCAAAATATCCTGCTGCCTAGCAGGACCACACCCCTCTACATCAGCAGTATGTCGAAGTCAAGCCGATTAATTGAGCATCAGTAACACCAGAATACACCCGAAGTGTCCGGTATCCGGCAATTGCAGGAGGGGTAACAGGGTAGTCGTCGAACCCTGCATGCGGAGTTTAAGCTGAGTCGAGAAAGGGGTAACCCCGGACTTGTAGTCGGCGGAAGCCGCCGTCGGCCGAGCATTCCTAATACGGCAGGCGGAAAGGACTTATCAATCGCCAACTGGTGAATCCGACGTCATTGGCTTACGGACTGACTTCATCGCCTACAGCTATTATTAATGTCAATACCTCTCAATTGAGATATAACAGCGCTACTCTCCAGACGTAACAAGACCCAGGCTGTATCTAAGTTTTTCAAAAAGCATATATCCTGGCAAAATGACCACTCTGCCCAAGATCTTCATGTACCACTCCACTCAGTCGTACTACCGCATATATATCTCGCTAACACTTGACTTCCAGCACCGGCGCAACCGGCTACATCGGCGGCGATGCCCTCTACGCCATCTTCGCCAAGCATCCTGAGTATAAATACACCGTGTTGGTTCGGTCCCCAGAAAAGGCCGAACAGGTCCAAGCCCAGTACCCTTCCATCAGAGTTGTCATCGGCGACCTAGATGACTCTGCTCTTCTAGAGAAGGAGAGTGCTGAAGCTGATATTGTTTTGCGTGTGTCCCACCCTATCACCGTGTTTGTCATAGAGTTTCCAATCACTAATAAGCCAGACACCGCCGACGCCTCCGACCACGAAGGTGCCGCGAACGCCATCGCCAAAGGCTTAGAAAAAGGCCACAGCAAAGAAAAGCCCGGATACTGGCTGCATACCGGCGGCACGGGTATCCTTACGTTCCATGACACGGATCGAAACGTGTTTGGTGAAGGTATTGACAAGGTCTACGATGACTGGGACGGAGTGGACGAGTTGTTGAATCTGCCGGAGCATGCGTTCCATCGCAATGTGGATCGGGTAGTACTTGAGACGGCGAAAGCGAAAGGGGATGTGGTGAAGACGGCGTTGGTCTGTCCGCCTACTATTTATGGTATGTTAAATATCTCTTTCCTGGAATCAAGGGTGGATGTGGTATTAATGGGTGTTGCATAGGACGTGGTCGAGGCCCTGTATCCGTGCGTGGACGACAAGTCTACGAGCTGGCCAAGGTGACCCTGCAGCTTGAGAAAGCACCGCTCATTGGAGATGGCAAGTCAATCTGGAATAACATCCACATTTACGATTTGAGCGAGTTGTATGTGCTGCTTGTAGAGGCGGCCGTGCATGGACGCGATGATCCGGAGCTGTGGGGGGAGAGGGCATATTATCTCACTGAGAATGGGGAGCATGTTTGGGGTGAGCTGGCTGTGGCAACGGCGTTGACTGCGACAGAGCTAGGTTTGCTTTCTGGGGTCGAGAAGGAGAAGATCAGTTTGGAGGATGCAAAGAGGTATGGCGGGTATGAGGCGCTGAGTTGGGGGTTGAATTCTCGGGGACGTGCCAGGAGAGGAGCCAAGGTGTTGGAATGGACGCCCACGCAGCCGAGTATTGAGGCGACGTTGCCGGAGATCTTGGAGGACGAGGTAAAGAGGATGACCACTCAGGCACAGAGGGCTTAGTCCGGATGCATGCGGGGATAGAACTATAGCTAGCTATCCAGCTTCATCTACTCCTTACATGCACTACTCAATCGATGCAGCAGACTGCAGCCTACTCCTCCACCGGCGTATCCACCCCCCTAATCAACGTCTTAATACCCTCTCCTCTAGCCGTAGTCTCCCACGCCTCAACCGCTTCCTCAAACCCGACAATCTTCGTAATGAAACTCTTTAGCGAAATTCTCCCCTCCACAGCCATTTGCATCCCGAGCTTATAATCTCCTGGCCCATACCGAAAACACCCCTTAACCACCACCTCTTTACCAGCCACCGTCCCAATAGGAAAATCCACATTCTTCCTACCCAGGCCCGTCTGCATAAACGCCCCTCCAACCTTCACCACCTCTATCCCAAGATTAATACAAGCCTCTGCCCCCGTAGCCTCAATAACAACATCAAACCCTGCATTTCCTTCCTCATCACCATCGCAGAACCCCTCAACCAGCCTCCTCCCATCCACCTCCCCATCCCCAGACGGAACATACCCACCTCCCCAAACCCCCTTACCCACCACGCTCTCCGCAAACGCCAACTTCTTCTCACTCAAATCCACCCCCACCACCCTACTTGCCCCAAACTCCCTCGCCACAGCCATACACAACACGCCCACTGACCCCGCCCCAAACACCACAACACTCATCCCAGGCTTCACCCCCACCTCCCTGACAGACCGCACCGCCACACCTAAGGGCTCCAACAGCGTTGCCTCATCCAGTCCCAACGTCCCCTCCGGGATACGATAACAGTAATCGGCCGGTAATTTGAAGAAGCGAGTAAGCGTGCCGTGACATACACTTGGGACGGCGGCGAACTTCATCTCCCGGCAGAGATTGTATCGTCCGGATTTGCAGAGGTTGCAGCGGTGGCATGCGTAGCCGGGTTCGAGAGCTACGGGGTCGCCTGGCGAGAGGGTGGTCACGGCGGGCCCAACGGCGTGGATGATGCCGGTGGATTCGTGGCCCATTGTTATGGGGTTGGAGGGGGAGATGGGGCGGTGGATGCCGCCGTGGAGGTAGAAGTGGACCTGGATTTTGGTTAGGAGCTGGGTGGGTGGACAAGAGGGGCAAAGGGAGAATGGAGGGAGGTATGTACATCGCTGCCGCAGACGCCGGTGTAGGCAATGCGGATTGTTACGTCTGTTGGGGAGGTGATGGTGGGAATGGGTCGGTCTTCGTAGCGGGCGTCGTGGGCGCCGTAGAGGAGGCACGAAGGGTTGGACATATCGGTGAGGGAGATGGAGCCCATGTTTGTATTTTCTTAGTTGTAAGATGTTTGGTGTGTGTGTGTATGATTACGAAAAAGTAGTGGGAAAGAAGGATATATAACATCAATAAATGGAGATATTGTTCTTTACCCCGCGGACAGTCTGATTTAAGATGCGGGGTTTCGCCGAGAGAGTCGCCGATGGGAATAGGTTGGGATCGTCGCGAAGATGGGACTATGTGGAGGTCTCGGCTAGCCCTACAGTCACTCTAGTACTGGGGAAATATGGTTAAGCTTGTATAAATAGGCTAAATATTGTCTAACTTAAAATTATGTACGAAGTTCTAACACGAAAACCACATTAGCTGGCATGCACCTTGCCTGGAGTACCAGACATCGATGCCATCACACATTCCAGAGCACTCTTCAAGTCAATATGGAACAATGGCAAGTTCACCCCAGTCACCACCGCCGGCTTGCCATCTCCGCGTCGCTGCACAGCTGTCCTCTCCGAGCCCTTGGCTGCCTCATCCATCTCCCGTATACTCAGGACCCCAGCGTTCTTGTCATCCCTGCTCTTGCTCTGTTTCAATTGATCACCGGCTTGCGACTCGATATCACTGGCGCGCTGGTCTGAACTATCTCCAGAGTATACTGCCTCCGTGATGTTGAAGATCGGCTTGAGCTCAGGCACATCGGAAGGCCGACCGAAACCCGCGGCAGCGAGAGCCCGCTTGGTCCATCGGTTGTTGATATGGGCGAAGTGCCACTGGACTCGGTCCGGGGCTGCGTACCGGTCCAGCTGGCTCCGGACATCGATCAGATTTTGAACCGAGGTCACGTCGACGTTGTTGACGGCAGAGAAATCCAGAATGACTGCACGCAGCAAAGGTTTCTCGGTGGAGTTGGCGATCTGTTCGGCCTTGCTTTTGCGAGGGGCCGGGTCATTCCATGGTCGGTCGCCGGGGGTTGCATATAAAGATGGATTAGTGCGTCGGGTAGAGTCGAAGATGTGTTCGACCAGATTGTCGGTGTAGTGGTTGGCGTTGGGGTAGTTGAAGCCTTCGGAGACGCGGTAGATGAAGATGCCTGGAGCAGGCTGGGTGATGGGTATGGTTGGGTTGGAGCCGTCAGTGTGCTTCAAGGGGAGAAATACGGTTCGACTAGAGGTGTGCTTGTAGTCGGAACCGGAAAGCTGAGCGGCAGAGTTGAATTTTTTGGCTGATCCGGTCTCTTCTACAAGGTGGTCGCCGATGACGGAGTGGATCTGGACCTGGCCGAGGAACTGACCGCGGGCTTTGGCGATGCGGAATAGCAAGACTGCGACCGAGATGCAGATTGTGCAGTAGATGCCGTCTTCAATGCTGGAGAAGATAATGACGATGATACCGACTAAAGCAATGACAGCATCAAGAGGTGACACGCGCCAGAATTGGTAGATGACTTTAGGTGGTGTGATCAAGTCGCCGACGGCGTGAATGATAACAGCAGAAAGTGATGAGCTGGGAATGAAGAAGAAGAGAGCTGGAAGGGCGTAAATGGCAAGCAGAACAACAATGGCGGTGATGACGCCGGCCAGCGGCGTCCGTACACCGGACTTGGCTTTGATAGCAGTGCGAGAGAACGAACCAGTGGCAGGGTAGCCACCCAGGAAGGGCCCGAGGAGGTTTGAGATGCCAATAGCGATGAACTCCTGGGAAGGATTGATGGTGTAGTTGTTGACGCGTCCGAAGGATTTTGAGATAGCAATATGCTCTATCACCAAGACAATCACTGCTGCCGGCAGCTCTTTTGCGAAGGTCTTGATAATATCAACGTTGATTTTGGGAACACCCGCATGCTGAAACCCATAAGGAACTTTGCCCAGCATCTTGAAGGCCGGATTGTTGCGACGATGGAGGTTGACTGCAGCACTAATCATCGTATAGAACAGGATCACAAAGACCGTGCGAAGGGTATTCAGGAAAAAGAAGAGCTTTGCCTTCCGAGGGTATTTCCTGGTTCCATAGTTGCATGCTGCGCGAATGGCATACAGCATGGCAAGTGCCGTCAAGCCCATGGCAGCATCCATCTGCGAGGTGGGCAGATATTTCAAGGTATTGATGATGACCATGTATGTCGATCCACGGGTAGAAAAATCGGCCGTTTCTCCCAAGACTGTCTTGACTTGTCCGGCGCACACATTGATCGCAGATCCGGTCATGAAGGCGGTAATCGCAGGAAGAGGAATGAAGTCGACGATGAATCCGAGACGGAACAGGCCAATGAAGGTCACGATCGCACCGCAGATGATGGCAAGGGCTCCGGCGATCGTAGGGCCGTCGACGTCAGGGTAGTCTTTTTGAACTTCGATGATGATGGTTCCAACTAAGGTGGACATGACGGCCACCGGCTGATCGGGTTAGTTGTTGGTCGTGACAAGGCAATGGAAGACCTACACCGATGGTGATATCCTTTGATGTGGCGAAGAACCAGTATATTAACACGCCCATGAAGGAGGAATATAGTCCATACTCGGCAGGTAACTTGGCTAGGATGGCGTATGCCATGCCTTGTGGGATGACCACAGCCCCGACAGTAACACCTATAGATGTAAGCCTCACTCACTTCAGTAACTGTTATGAGGCATCTCACCTGCGATCAGATCACCAATGAACCACTGCAAGTTATAGCTCATGATCCAGTGAAGAAAAGGGAACAAGTCGTAGAAATAGCGACCAATTTGGCGACATGATGGTATGAGCTCGCGCAGCCATTCACCGGCTGTTGGCTCTGTTTCGACATAATGACCAGCAGTATCTGATCCATCACGAAGGTATGGGTCGGTGTTCGATGCCAGATCGATTCCGAGCACCTTCGCTAGAAGATGGCCAACTTTTGTGGTCATTTTCCGTGTCAGCAGACAGAGCTTTCAGATCTGTGGCATATACCGATGAGGAATGGGATCTGGAGGGAAATAATAAATGTTAAGCTTATCGCGTGAGAAGTCTTAGATATTTTATCAGAGAACAGGGGATCGATGTCGTGATTTTAGCTCCGAAATGGCAATGCAGCTGGGGCTTGCCATGTGCCGGCCAGATGCACCTCCACGCCCATGCCGAGCGCGCATTGGCCTTTTTCGACATGGCTGAACCATAGATGAATTTAAAAAAACACGAGACTAAGTGATTGCCTTCTTCTTGATCAAGATGAGCTGCCTGACGATCACTCGTAAGACGTTAGATGGGTGGCATTTTTCGTGTTCGCCAGAAAGGCTCAGTTCTGGCTTATGTCTGCAGGGATCCCTCATGTAGCGCAGTAAGCGCTGCTCAGAACGGACTCTAGGCGGTCCTTCCACGAAGCTAGTTCTACTTCCGTGGTCTAAAGTTATTACAAACGGAAAAGAGGAAATATGAGGGGCACGATGCAATCACCCAAGCTTTCTGCAACCTGGCCCAATCTGTGTGTCTATTGTGCTGCGTAAACAGACGGGATAAGGTTGGCCCAGGGTCCACAAAAGCAGACCCATCTATCATGCTGTCGGTCTCCACGCTCAGAACTAAGGTAAGTGAAGTGCCAATCCAATCATACCATAAGTCTGGTATGCCACTCACATCCACCTTTATTTTTTTTACTGCTGGCATTACTGAATTAAGTGGAGTAACTTGCTCCACAAGGCTGAAACAACTTGTTTTAAGCATGTTATGGTGGTGGTTGAGGGACCGCGTCAGGGAAGGGTTAAGCTCAACCGTCTGTATTCATGTGGAACTGTCTCTACTGAACCAGGCTTTTGATATCACCATCAGACACAATTTTATATAAGACTTTAATATCCTATATAACGCCAATGCTATGGTTTACGGCGCCATTGACCAGGTGTATCCTGGGAGGGGCGACGTGGCCGGGAAGTGGCCGAGTCCCTCCACTGCCATGGCGAATTTTTAGTCCCGAGCACGCCATCAAGCTAACCGTGGGATGCATTTTCTACCACACACGAACATCCCACATCTCTACTGTAATCCTTGCATGTGTATGGGCCAATGTGCGCTTAATGAGCTGCTGCATCCTGCCAAGAAGCCACAAATACTCTATTCCCTTGGCCCTGCCGTGAAAACCACAAGGCCTCATACGACCGCCAAATAGAACACACGAGGAACACGGAAAGAGAGAGCTACACGAAAGAAGCAAATCCTAAAGGGCACTCTGTCTCGCCATTCATGATGTCAAACAAAAACGTAATATGGCGATGTGTGTGGTTGGGCAACCAGTGATCCTGGTTCTTCAGATCCTGCAACGAGAGTAACACGAACCGAGATCGGTAGCAACTTGTTGACCATACGAGTGGGCTGAGCCACGTTGAGTCTATTTCAGAGTGCTTGTCATCTTGGAAAACCCCGTGGCTTCCACTTCCACGAACTCTATCGTCGGATAGAACGAGTGCTGCAAAGAGGCACCCAAAGCATGAGAGCATACGAGGGAATCTGCTTTCTGGGCATTCTCATGTTCGTAGACATGAGATATTAAGCCTCCGTACAATTCCAGTAGAAGTCTGTGGCTACGAAACCTGGACAAAAGGTTCTTGCAGACAAGGAAAGCACCAATCGGTGTCTGGTGTGTGCTGAGCGGGAGGTCCTAAGATTGACATCGTCCTGAAAGGGGGGAGGCACATGCTTGATTTCCTAAATCAATCATTAGAGTTCAATTCTACGCCTCAATCAACAAAGATAATCATACTCGATGGGATCAAATGATGGGCCGTGAAATTGGCTCGAGTCGCTGTTGAATATTTGTTTCCGGGCAAACGGCATGTCTTCTGTCCCGGAATTGACCCAACGCGAGATATCTTGGTCCTACAATATTGTCATGCTAATGTTCAATTATGGTGCAAAGACATTGAATTGTCCATCCATGTTCTGAGTCATTAGCCAAAGCTCGATATCCAGAGGAAGGTAACATACCCAATCGACCAGATCTGCATCCATCCATTCTCGGATATTTGTCAAATCTTCAAATAGATTCTCGAACGGGGTCTCCGAGCTCCCTGCTGGTGGGTCGCCCGCCCCTGCTTGAGCTCTGAGAATGTATGCTTAGTTGACTGAATTTGACAGAATACATTAGGTAGCTTACTGTAAATGGCGAAGTATGCGATATGCTCTGTGACAGATATGACTTCGGCCCGAGAGATCTTTCATGCGGGCAGTCAAGCTTTCAATCTCCTCTCGAAAAGAGTCCAAATTATGTTCTGGGTCATCTTGGAGACACGAATTCAGGGCCACGGCTGCATGGAGTGCTTTCAGACTGATCACCCCACTAAGCCACCAGAAGTAGTTTCGGAGGATTGGAGCTTCGTAGAGTTGTCTGTGAAGGGAAATCAGAGCTGCGCTGGAGCTAATACACCTTTCTCTGGAGATTGGAAGAAAGCAAGATGCTTTGGAATGGTGAAACGGCCGGTGTAGCAGAAGGTAGAGATGATGCGCGTACGTCTGTAAGACGCACCAATAGGCGTAGCGATTAGATTCCAAAATATTGGGAGAGCCATCAACCATATAGGCCGCGTCCCACCGTTCTTGCTCTTCCGCTATCGCAGCATCGAGATCACGCAAGGCCTGCTGGTCGAGACGTGAAGACCTCGAGGTATGACGACAGATCTGAGTGGAAAGCCGGAACAGTCGAAGCTTGGCCATCATGACGGACATCTGTGTGGGCTCGCTACAAGATTGCTGCACAATGCCCTCGTTGGTAACATCGACATCATTAACATCGGCAGGTAAAGGAGCTTGAACGCTGAGAAGGTATGACATATCAAAATCCCGGGAAAGCATTCCCTGATACGTGTGCAATGTCAAAAGACCAGCCCAACAGCGTCGCCGCCTTTCGGTCTCGATGGTGCCCAGGTTCTTCTGTTCCACATTGCAACGTAACGCAATGCCAATATTCAATGCCATTCCCAAAAGGGCCCAGCCTTGGTCGACAGATTCATTGTGAGAGAGGCTGTATATCACCATTAATAGAACCTCGAAGGTGCTGAATGTGTGCCTAATCAAGAAATCGCCCTGCAGAAGACAGGTTATTGCAGTCCGAAGCAGACGGCGAGACACAGAAACCGTGATAGGAACCGTGCTTGCAGCTTGTGTGATACTCGAAGGCAGCTGAGACCAGACGCACTTTAGCCTGGGGTCACTTTCATCTAGAGTTTTCAGAGACAAAGAACATAAACCGAAAAGCAAAGCTAGCCAAGGTAAGTCGACATCTTGAGGGCGTTGCAACATCGCCGTATACTGTTTCTGGAAAGTTGGACCGTGAAGAATGGGAAACAATGCGAAGATATGTTTATAAAAGTGTGAAACCAGATAGTCGCAACATGACTTCGGGGGAAGCGAGTCAATCATTTCCTGGAGAGAGATGCGAGGGCTTATAGAAAGGGGTGATAGTGTGTCATTAACATCCTCCTCTGGCGCAGGGCGCTCAAGCACGGTTTCCCAGTGTACACCGGGAGGTGATGTTTCTACTTCAGATATAGTCTGTTCGGATTGTGAAATTGAAGAGACGGCATTCTTTCGTGTCGGTGTAGCCGGGAATTCTGCTCCGCCACTCAACGCAGATGACGCCGAAGTGGTCACGGGCTTCCTGCGAGTTTTTCTTGATACAGATGGCGCAGAAGGGGTCTCATATGAACAACTAGATTCGCGCTTGCGGCGCTTGCACGCGCCACAAGGATGCTGACGATCGCATCGCAACTTAGAGCGTCGACATTCCTCGCAATTAACAGCTTTGCGCTTTCGCCGAAGGAATCCGGACACTTCCTGGATGGCCCCGTTATGGATCAAGTTGTTGCCCAGCATTCCCCTGGTAGAAAATGGGGATAAACGAAGACACGAAAGCCCTTGTTATTGTTCAGGACAAGAGTCCGAGGTGGAGATTGTTGGTCAGAGATAGCATTGATTGAGTCATTGAAGATTGCCACATTGCCACAAAGAAGATCGGTGCCCGTTGGTGAGGGTCGGAGAAAGAAGTTCCCAATATTACACAGGAGAAAGACCTTTCCCATGGAACCGGGAAAACCTGGTCGACAACATTCAATCCACCCACTATTAAGGATTGTATATGCCAAACTATATCCGTAAGGCGTAATGAAGCGTCTATTGACTGATTCATAGCTTGAGGCTGTCTAGTTCAATCAGGTCACGTGATTTCATCAAATTACTAATACCGGAAAATACAAACTGCCATACAGTTCACTATATGTATGGACTTATGGCGAAGAAAAGCAGACGGATTCTACATATCCCCAGGGTTCGTGTATGGAATAGACTTACGTATGTATCTAGCCAGACTTTCATAAGTATCATTGCCGTTTTGGCTGTATAGGGTTGCATAAACTCGTTCCACCAAAGTCCGATTGATCGGAGATAGAGGCTAGCGGATCGGAGATGCTATGACTATAGAAGTTTGCTAGATTCATTCTTTCGTTGGAAAGTTTTCAACATCTTACTCGCCTATATCCTTCTTTCCTTCTTGTCACGCAGAGGATACAGGAAATGGAAGCTTATCTCCAATACCAACGGGTTCGAAAATCCGTGCAACAGCACTTGGCAAAGCTGAAAGATGATTGCAGCTGTCCGAGCTACTCTGTCAACGCTCATCATGGTCCTAAGTAAGTCTAGGTGACAAGTTAATCAGGTGCGCGAGTGTCTAATACAAGTCTATGTAGCTGCAAACTGAGCGGCTATCATAGTAGCCTGGAGAAGTTGCCCGCCGGATCGACGGCCCCTGACGCTGCGATTGTTGTGGGCTGGGAAGGGGAAAATGATCCCTTAAATCCTGCAAACCTGAGCACCTCACGGAAGCTCTTCATGACTTTGTTAGTGTCATTGATAGCAGTGGCCGTGACTGTCGCCTCGGCGATTGATGCTTGTGGTGTCAGGGAATATAGCGCATACTTCCAGGTATCCGAAGTTGTCGGCTCTCTAGCAACAGGTATGGTGGCATCTCACTGGACTCTATCATAGCATAAAGCTGAACTCTTCATGTCTCTGAACAGCTCTGTTCCTTATCGGTTTCGCATTTGGTTCCCTTCTCTCTGGCCCTTTCTCTGAAACCTTCGGGCGCAATGCCATTTATTCCACAACAATGCTCCTTTTCTTGATCTTCGTCATGGCATCAGGACTAGCCCCAAACCTCCATGGTCACCTTATCTTTCGTTTCTTTGCCGGCCTCTTCGCTTCCACCCCGCTAACCTGCGCCGGTGGCACAGTTGCCGACTTATGGAACCCTCTGGAAAAGATCTATGCTTTTCCTGTTTACGCTTTACCTGCATTTGTGGGGCCCATGATCGGCCAGATAATCGGGAGCTATATTCCAGTCATACTAGGCTGGCGCTGGCTAGAGTGGGTAACGCTGATCATGGGTGGTGTGGTTCTCGCTCTGGTCCTTTTATTCCAGCCTGAGACATATGGCAGCCTTATTCTCTACTGGAAGGCCTCCATTCTGCGAAAAGAGACTGGTGATGAGAGATACAGAGCTCCCATGGAGATCAATCAGAAGAGCCTCGGTCAGCGATTGAAGACCTCCGTATACCGGCCATTTGCGATGTTTTACTCTGAACTAATTATCATCCTGATGTCACTCTATCTGACGATTATCTATATTGTCCTCTTTACCTTTCTTGAGGGGTATACCTATATTTTTGGCGATGCATATGGCCTTTCCGAAGGACTGACCAAGCTTTGCTGGGCTGGTATGCTCGTTGGCATCTTTCCGGTCATCGACGTGGTGCCGGTGGTTTACAGCTGGACTGCAAAGGCCTATGCTCGAGATAAGCCCACTATTGCACCTGAGATGAGACTCTGGTACACGATGCTTGGTGACGCAGTAGCAGTGCCGATCAGCTTGTTTTGGATGGGATGGACAAGCAATGTAAGCCTATATCGATACACCCACTTGTTTTGCAACAGGCTAACCTTTCTCTGTCTCCACAGCCAAACATCTCAATCTGGTCCCCTCTCGTTGCCTCCGTCGTTTTCGGCTACGGGATCACCACCATCTTCATCGTTGCATACATGTATCTCATCGATTCCTACGACGCATATTCTGCATCCGCTCTGGGATTCCTCGTGTTCACGCGATATGTGGTGGCGGGAGGTGTGACTGTTGCTGGAGGTCCGATCTATGAGGCTCTCGGCGTGCAGTATACCCTCACCATTCTGGGGTCTATCAGTGCAGTTATGGCGTTGGTGCCTTATTTGCTTTACTTCTATGGGCCGATTATCCGCAGAAAGAGCAAATATGCGGTGAATGTTGACACTGAGTAGTTCATAAATGGTGTTATGGCAGGGGTCTATATCCTTGTTCATGGGTGTGCTCAAGAATCACAACTTGGCCCTCCATAGTATTAAAGGTTTCGGGAAAGTCCTAGAGCGTAAAGCGCCTTTTTATGTTATCATGGAGGGACGAAATATAAATAGACAAGATAGATAGATGAAAAAAAAAGGAGCTTCAAGCAGGAATAAAAGACACATTACGGATACAAATACTCAGGATACTATAGCACAATTGTCTTGCTTAAATCAGGACATCAGCGACAAAAAAGGTCTTCAACAAGATATTGAAACTCAAGAAGCACTCGAACTAATTAATAGAGCGTTTGTGACGGCCTCAATACAAGGATTGAAAACATCGACGACTGTCGACTATTGTACAGAAACGATTGGCTGCGATATCCCAATGTAGCCTTTAGGACAAAGGAGCGGGCTGCTTGACATGCGAGGAATCATCGAACCCTATGGTACCTACTGACGTAACCAGTCGAATTCGGCAATAATATCCCCTTACCCACCATCATCCCCAATCAGAACACCGCGACTGAGCCAGCAGATCCTTCAGGCCGAAGTAACACATTGATGGTACCAAGGGTTCTGCTCCACGCAGGTGCAAGGCGACTCACACTCGGTTGGGCCAGCATAACCAAGGCCTCCGCATTGGCCCCAGTGCGAGACAAGGTTTCCCGAGCTAGCGGCCGCGGATTGAATGTTGCTGCTGCTGCTGCTGCTGCTGCTGCTGGCGGGGGTCTGAACGTAGGCATGCACGGCAGCGGTAGTTGTACCCGGGCTTGCGACAGATGCACTACTGACCGAAGGGGAGGCAGCAGATGAGCTTCCCGAACCACTTCCGTTCCACACGTCATCCCCAATCGGCGTTTCCAGTATATCCGTCTGAATCTTCTCGGCCGAGTCGACCCAAAGATTGAGGCCGTTGAACAGGGTCATGCTGTCGTTGTAGAGACCGGGGATCTGGTATGTGAGACTGGGAGATCCAGTTCCCGAGCCTGTGACCTTTACCTGTGCACAGCTAAATTGGTGGTGTCAGCATCATTGCTCCTTGAATGTCATAAAGCCGAGCGCGATTGCCTCACCTGTAGAAGAATTCAGCCTCGTTGGCCTGAGCTCCATGCAAGCCCACATGCTCGGCGCGCACCAGGTACTCGCCTGCTGGGGTCTCAGCAGGAATCTGGAACTCGAACTCGGACATGCCCCAGGTGCACCAGGCGTCCTTGGTCAAGTCGCCTTCCTCGTTGCAAAGCGTTCTTTCCCAGATCTTGAACCATTCGCCGTCGCCTTCGTATTCCTGGACATTGCCGGTGGGTGCCTTGGGCATAACTGTGATTCGAGGAAACCAGGTCATTAGAAGGTGAGTGATTATGACAGGGAGAGGGATGACTCGTACAAACTTGGCCCGGGCCGGGGTGCGCAACACTAGTGTCGTAGAAGAGCTTCATCCCGATGGTATCTCCCGCCGCTACCTCGGCGACGTCGGTCTTTGCGGCATTGCTGAACGAGCCCAGGTTGCAACGAAAATCGTTGTCGTTGGGTGTCAAATTGTCAAAAGTGTTGGTGAATTTGGTAGGCTCGTAGCAGATGCTGCGAGTGGTCTCACGAATGTACTGCCAGTCCGCAGAAGCCTCTCCGTTCAACACGAGCTTGCTGAAGATATAATGAGCGGAAGCCGTAGGTGCCAGACTGGCAGTAACTGCAACGGCCAGAGGAAGGTACTTCATTGTGTCTGGCTGAGAATCGAGACTAATTTAGAAACGAAAGAAAGAGCTGAAAGTATAATGAATTGAAGTGAAAGAATGACGAGAGCCTGACACCTGGTCAGATCGAATCCAGCTCGATAGCGAGAAGTAAAAGTAAGGAGCGATATCTTGTATAGTTCCTCTCGCAGAAGAAGAGAATCAATGAGTATTTATATGAATGTGCCAAGCACGCCGCAGCTTATCTCTGCCGTCGAATATCCACAGCTTGAGTTCCTGCTGTCCCAGTCCTTCATTTCCTCATCATAGCGCTGTGGCGGGCTTCTCCGAAACAATATGTCGCACCATTATCATGGACAGCATCCAGTTCACTTTCATATACCTGGCTAAATGTGGCTTGTACCTTCCTGGCCATGCCATATCCCTGGTATGCTAGAGCTCAATACAATATTGAACCCATAGTGTGCTTTGAGGCTCTATGTAAGCGCAACTGTCTTCTGTTCACGAGTCCTGTAGTTGAATAGCTTCCACATTCTTCTAGACAGTCAGGTCAACCTGTCGTTGACTGTTCCATCTTCCCATTCGCCACCCAGTCGGGCCTGTGGCAGCTGTGTCTCCTAGTCTGAGTGATGCCGTACTTGCGTGCAGTTGGCGGCATAAATTGAAGGTAAACAGGCAGAAGCCCAGCCGTCCAATCAGATCCGACCAACCCTGGAATCAGGAGCTAGCGGTACAGATACTTATTCCACTTTTGCTTTGCTCGAAACAGCCAGTGTTTGTCAATGGTGCAATGCGCGCTCCGGTGACTCCCAAACGGGACTTGGCTCGGTACTTATCGCACGTCGATACTCGTGGCTGTTCAAGCCAAGAGTGCGGAATCCCGTTCCGGATGTTCGAGACCCTGAACCCTTACAAGTGGCACACTAAGAATTCATCCCTGTCCTGCTGTCGGCATGAAGCGCCCAGAAAACCCTTTAACGAAGCTTCTTCAACTTATCCTACCTCAAAGTTGTTAAGACAAAGTCACATCGTACTCATAAGGGGCGTTGACCAACCAAAACTGGTCTTTCAGCTGGGATGCAACTTACATTTAAGCCATAAAGGTGAGGGCCACCTCTACTGTGATCATTCTGGGAATCGTTATTTGTGGTATGATGAGCCGCGGGACTAAGAAGCCGCGGGACTAAAGCTCCCGGTTGGAAGTGGAGTCAGTAACCACTGAGATCCAGGCGAATGTGTCATAGGAGATGTCGTTGCAAAGCATCACATACTCCATGTGATTGGCCTTTTGCCGGCTCTTTCCACTGAAGGATCTCAGGGAGTTCTAATTTGGATGGCCGCGTTGGGTCATTATCATCTGAAACACACCGATTGCCTAGACTTGTCAATCGTGAACCTAGGTGAGCTCAGACGATCAAGCTCTGAGTGCACTCCATAAGTTACCTGCCAGGCCTGCTCCAGCCAATGACTGGGTGCTGATTTGTATTATCAATGGTTCAAGAGTGAGTCCATTGCTCGCCGAAGCACTAGAATATGTGTCTGACGAGTATCTCACTACATCGTGCATGGTAAGCTTCAGTAGTTTCCCGAACAAGTCTGCCTTCTTCAGCCTTAAGCACTCCTGTGTCATCAGTTCATAAGTTACGCCTTAGCTATAGGTACATCAATGTCTTCCGGTTCGAAACCAGCTCGTGAGTTATTTTTTTCCCTCTTCTGTTCTCTATGCGCTTTACTTGCGGAACGGGCCCGATTCTGGCTTCGTGTGGAGCCACGAGGCCGTTGTTCATCTGAAACAATTCCGTAGTTTAGACTTTCGTTGGTACCATCCACTTTGAAGGCACCAACTTCGATATGGGCTGAGGAATATTTTTAGCTCGGTACATTTCTACTTCCGTATTGCCGTGTGTTCAGATATTTCTATGAGGAACTTGGCAAATGCTTCAAGGGTTTTCACTAAAGTGGGTCCAATTGACCCACTTGACTGCCTTATACTCACGGACTGCTACCTACCAACTAGACCAAAAGAGATATATCCCCGTGAGATATTGGCGGGTCTCGGTTAAGACCAAAACCGTAACCAAAGCAGCCATACAAGGCACCCGGTTAAGTACCTACTTATCTCTGAACTGAGTACGGGTGCACAGATAACCTTTTGCTTATATGGTCGCACTGCTTACCGATTAGGTTACGGAACACAAGTCCGCAGAGGGCAATAGCGTCCGTGAACAATTGCGATGACAGGTGTGAGGACTTACAATAACCATTGGCTCCCATGCGTTATGATATTGAACTTTGTGCGAGATTTCAACTATCCGTAGTTGCAGCATTTCAAGATGAAACCAGAATGAACCCTATCTGGATCCGCATTATAACCGGTACCCCTAAGGACATGATCATCTACTATCCCTGAACGTGCGGAAATAACTATGAACCACACGAACTTACTCAAACTAGGCTGGCAAGTGATACGTTCAGAGGACGAGACGGCTACCGACAACCGAAGATGAAGCAGAAAGCTATAAAATAATTTAGATGGTCTTCTTGGTCAACGAGAAAGGCAATTTATCCCACAGCATTACGATCATAAAGCCATTCGGCTTGTCCAGGGTCGCCGGCTTCTCCATCGGGCGCCATATAATCGCAGTGAGTATTAGACTGTTGGCCATAGATGTACAAGATAATCCAACCGGTTAATTAAATCAATTTCCACGCCGAAAAGTGATCGGTGCCACGGTTAAAGTGGTTTTTGAGCAGTCAATATAAGCATATAAGCCCCTGGCATGTAATTTAACATTCCGTGAATATTCATGGCAGTTGAAGCCTTCTTTGCGGAACAGTTGGGTCACTTGGAGGGTTAGGGGTCCATTCACATTAATCACATGTCTTCTGCACGCAGGCCAAAGAAATTAGCCAGGTAGATAGACAGCGGGATTGCTCCGTACATCCAATATCGCTTAGAGGTTGTTTCATAGTGCTACAACCGTAGCCTAAATGGATAAAGTGCCCGTGGAAGGTACAGGTCGAGCGAACCTTGGAAATGACTCCTCCCCTTTTGTCGACAAATAAACGATATAAAGGTAGGTGTCTGCCAAACAAACATTGCCATCTCATCACCCTCGCCTTCTAAGTCACAGTTGTACCCTTCTACTTGGAATTCTTCCTTTCCATCCTAATCATGGTGTCTTTCCTTGGCCAAGCGCGCCTGGCCGTGCCAATCCTATCAGCCTTTGCGTGGATGCTTGCGGCAAGTTCCGCCATCCCCCTACCGCCGCCTGGAACCCTCTCACCTGAGCGTCTTCAGTGGATCAGGGAAGTGATCGGCAATCAGACCGAGGGCGGCAGCATTTCGGATCTCGCTAAGCGGAGCACTATCCTGCATACCAGCCAAGACGGCGTCGACAGCGGGGGATTCTACTACTCCGTGTACAATGACAACGGAGCCAGCGTTGGATACACTGAATACCCCACGACCGGCCAGTTTGAACTTGGCTGGAACACTGAGACGGAATTCCTTGGTGGAAAGGGCTTCAAGGGTGGCAGCACGCGGTAAGTGCATCTTTCCTCCTCTCCTCTTTTCCTTCTCACTTGACAGAGCCGAGGAAAGCTGACAGTTGTTCGACTCAGCTCCTTGACCTGGGACGGTTACTTCACCGCCGAGGGTGACTGGACTTTGGCCATCTATGGCTGGACCCTGAACCCCGTCACCGAGTGGTATATTGTGGAGTCGCATGGCACTGGAACCCCAGGCAACGGGAACATTCTCGGCCAGGTCGATAGCGATGGCGGTGTCTACGATGTCTACAATCTCCCCTACAGAAATGTTCCCGAGATCTACGGTGTCACCAACTTCGACCAGCACTGGTCGGTGCGTCGCTCCCACCGTTCCACCGGCACTGTCGACGTGAGCACCCATTTCCAGCGCTGGAAGGAATTGGGTCTCAACCCTGGCACCCCGATCTTCCAGATGGTTACTCTGGAAGGCTTCTCCGGTCAGGGGTACCTGGATTTCACCGTCCAGGCGTAGAGAAGATCAATGGCCATGTAAGGGTGGCTTATGTTCAGAGACCAGAAGCCCCCTTTCCCTTCATTTTTGGCTTTCCTCTTGTACAAAGCTTCTCTTCACCCGCTTTTTTATTCTTTTTTTCGCTTCTCTTCAACATATCAACCACTTTGTTAACCTTTAAATAACATATTGAACGTGATGGCTGCTGCAGTGCTCCATTGTCTATAATCTTGTTTACAGACTTCATTTGTATTCATATATTCCAAGTCTAATTTTCTAACTCATAGTACTGTATACAAGGTTATTTTGGCAGCATTACCGCCCTTTTAGTAGCAGTGAAATCACTCGTAACTACCCTGGAGCGCTCTTCTTCGTGATGAACCTCGTGATCAGTGAGCCCTGATCAAGACCTGAACTTCGCCAGATTGCAGCCCCAGAGCAACTGAGAAACAGGAAGATGATACACCCGTCTTCTAGTCTTCACAAAGCTTCTCCTACATCCTCATTACGCGCCCTGACACCGAACTCCGTTGAGAAACGAGAAGAGTGAGAGGTCATCTCAAATGAGTCATCTGCACATTCGATTTCCTATTCTCGCGCCATTATCTATCATATATTTTCTCGCAATTTTTAGTAGAGATATTTCTCTTAGTGTAGTACTTATTTCTGAATATATGTGGTCTTCCTGCAATTAATATGTGCAAAAGGTGCTCACGTTTTTGAAATACAATTAAATGCCTGTTGCGGCGCTGGGATCTACTAGAGTATTTGTTTCATCCTTAGTAGTGGAGGAGAGTTGACTTAATCGTCTAAGAAAGGTCCACCTAGTGGATATTTTCCAAAAAGTGGAGACGTGAGGCAAAGTACGAATATACGAATGTAAAATGTACGATATACGAATATACGAACAACTTCAATAGAGGCATGAAGTTTCGACATACCAGCCCCCATGAAAAGGGGGTTCCTTGGCATTAGCCCATGTATCGTTTTTATGTTTGGCTATATTCAAAATTCTGTGTATGGTTATAAAGGGTTTAGTGGATAAGTCCATTCTCACTGTGGCTCTCCGAGATGGTACCTTTTTAGATGCTAAAGGGTACACCAGGACTCCGACTGACATCT